GGAAAATGTTTTTGGGAATGAGCCTGAATGTACAACATGTATGCCAGCTGTTTCTAATTCTGGTGTAGCATAAAATCTTTTCACTCCCATCCCTCTGTCTGTAGGCACCAGCACTAATTGCAATTTCCTTAACAAATCTCTGCCTAATAAATTAACTGGATAGTCTGGGCTTAACACAAAACCAGCTTCCACTGTGAATCCCTCTTCATCAGTGACCAATTGACCAACACCTTGCCATTTGGAGCTCATTTATTTATTTATCTATATATTTATAATTTTTTTTTATTTATCTATTTTTGCACTAGTGCTTGTTTCTAGCCGGCACACAACATTTCTCCATTGATCTACTTCGACATACCATCTATTTCATACTTTTCCTTCCACTTCTACAAGTATTTTAAATTACTCGGATCAATCTGACACAAACTTTTCATCCTCTTTATGATCTTATCTATACTCTTTCCTGAACCCATCCTTTTTAATTATTTTACCTCCCTGACTCTCTTTAGTTATGTTATCCTTACGTTCTATTATTTTATTATTTTTGGAATGGAAGCGTCCCTATTATTATTATTATTTTTTTTTTAAATCCATATATTCAAGTGTTTATTTTTTTTGGGTGTGCAATAGAGGGCCTTGTCTTCTGTAGCTATACAGACTGGTAGGAATGGCGGTCAATGCTGCCCCTGCATCTAGTTTAAAGGAAACTACCGCCCCATTCAGTTTGATGTCCGAGTACCAGCCATTTCTGTCTGACTTCATCTCCCCTAAGAACAGACTGTCCTGATAGACTTCCCCTTCCCTGCATCTCGTGTACATGCTGCTTAGACTTGCAGACAGCGGCAAAGTGTCCTCGTTTGAGACTTTTCCTGCATTCAGCCTCTTTGGCAGGACAGTCTTTCCAATTGTGTGATGGGGCCCTCCCACATTTATAACAGGCGGACAACGTTGCATACCTGTTCGGTTTCAGTCGCTGTTGTGCACTGCCTTCTGTGTTGCGTGCGAGTGAAAGCGCATGCATCTCTTCACTGGGCTCCTTAATGGATACAGGGCCACTCACAATGCGGAGCCAACCCTGTTGTTGTATCACAGTTTCACTCTGTCTGACCCGTGTTACGGCTGTAGTCAGGGTCAGTTTTGCATCCATCTGCAACTTCTCGGAGAGCGTGGCATCTATGCGATCCCAGATCAGTTCATCTCTGATAGCCCCGAATTTGCAATAATCCGCTTGTTTGTGAACCATGGTGATAAAGCTCTTGGCCGTTTCGCCCAGTTCTTGTATACGCATGTTAAAGTTTGCCCTTTAAAAAATAATGTTATGTTCTCCAATAAAATGTTAATCAAAGCACTCTTTTACTTTTTTGTAGTTGAACTTTTCTGCAGACGTTAGTGCTGACGCATTAAGGATATCTTATGTATATATATCAACATATTCACTTGAAAAGCCTCGTCCCTTTTGCAGCATACATTGAAGAGATCCCACTTCTGACACCATGTAGTAATTTGTAAACCATTAATGAAGGACTCCGACAACAGCTTGTCTTTAGCCAGCAGCCATATTTACTCAATTGTCCTTTACCGGGAACCAGACATGTACACAACCCGCCTCTGGTACGGAATGCCCCGAGGACCATAACACACCACAGGTAAAGAATCATTAACTCAGGCATCCCCAAACTTGGTCCTCATGGCCAGCTGTCCTGCAGGTTTTAGAGGTTTCTCTGCTCCAGCACAGCTGATTTTAATTGAAAGCTGATTAACAGGCTTTTGGTCTACTGCAATCATTATAACCAGCTGTGCTGAAGCAGAGAAACCTCTAAAACCTGCAGGACAGGGGGACTTGAGGACCGAGGTTGGGGATGCCTGCATTAACTAAAGGTTAATTGTTTCTTGATTAAGCAAATTACTCAATAAAACATTATTTGGCCAAATAATGTTTTATTCACCTCATGGATTTGCATTGTGAATTGGTCTGAAAACATTCCAATTTCTCTAAATTTGTGAAAAGCTAATTTGATCATATTCAAAATTCTTCCAGATAAACACAAACTCCATCTTAAACTGTAATATGGTTTTAAACCATGTGCCCCTTCCTCTTTGTACATAGTAGTTTAGTTGAGTTTGACTTGGACCTGAATATTTTTTTGTTAATAAACTTTTGTATTTTGATGAAAGTTGTGAATTTATTCCATGTATGTGCAGAATTATCTGTTTGACCATGATTAGAGCTCGAATCACTCTTACAATTGTTTTTCTAATACAGCCAATAGAGCGTGTTTTCATAAACAATTTATGAAAGTCCAAATAATGTCTAATTAAAAAGGTTATTTACCATCCCTACTAGGTTGGGAAGTAAACTCTTAATATATATATATGAATAAAACAGTTATTCACACATATTTTCTTTGTCTAACTGACCATTTCAAGCAAAATGTCTAGAATTTAATTTAAGATTTCCATATTCCTATTATTACTGGCAATCATTTGTATCATTTAGACTATGAAGAAATGTTTTTCAGATATTCAGTCAAATTTATAAAAATTTTAAAACGGTCACTTAAAATGTGTAAACATTTCTAGATTTATAAAGCTTTATTTTTACTGGTATAATTTAGATTTTTTTTTTTACTTTCTAAAATTCAGTTTCTGCTACAAAAATTTTATGTAGAATATATATAATTACAGTTTAGTCTAGGAGTGTGAATTTGCTCAGGAAGAATCTTATTTGAGTGATCTACAAATGGAACAACAGAGAGGAGAGTGCTTTTAATAAATGTTAAAACAGCCTGCCATAGCCCACTTCATATAAACTTATGCATTCATTCGAGCAACAATCTTGTCCTTCTCCATCTTCCTCTCCTTTGCAGCTGTAGCGCTGTTTCTCTGTCTTTAAANCTGTATATTTTCAACTTTTGTGTTATGTACCATTGATGCGTGGCTGTACAATTGCTCTGTAAAAAATAATAAAAGTATAAGTTCTAAAAAAAAAACAAAAAAACAAAAAAAACGGTTATTTACCACCCCTACCGGGTTGGGAAGTAAACTCATAATATATATATATATATATATGAATAAAACAGTTATTCACACATATTTTCTTTGTCTAACTGACCATTTCAAGCAAAATGTCGAAAAAAATTAATTTCAGAGCTCCATATTCCTATTGTTACTGGCCATCATTTGTATCATTTTGATTATGAATAAATGTTTTTCAGATATGAATACATATTCAGTCAAGCTGATAAAATTTTAAAATGGTCACTTAAAATGTGTAAACATTTCTAGATATACAAAACTTTATTTTTACTGGTATAGATTTTTTTTTCTTTCTAAAATTCTGTTTCTGCTACAAAAATGTAATTTTGAATATATATAATTGCAGTTTAGTCTAGGAGTGTGATTTTGATCAGGAAGAATCTTATTTTAGTGATCTACAAATGGAACAACAGAGAGGAGAGTGCTTTTAATAAATGTTAAAACAGCTTGCCATAGCCCACTTCAAATAAACTTATTCATTCGAGCAACAATCTTGTCCTTCTCCATCTTCCTCTCCTTTGCAGCTGTAGCGCTGTTTCTCTGTCTTTAAAAACATTCTCCATTGTTTATAGTACTTAAAATCTCCAGTTCCAGTGGGGTGAAATAGGCACTTCTGTTGCCTGTTGCCATGATTTGTTAAATCAGCACTCCACTGTTATTGGTTTTTCATACTTGTTACGCTCGTGTTCAACTCTGAGTGGACCTTCTTAGAGTTCATTGAACTAATTCATAGCAGCCACTGGCAAACTAAACAGAGTTCCAGACTTTAGGCCAGATCAATTTAAAGTTGCGTAATTAAATTATTATTTAAAGAAACAGACCCCAGGAAGCAGAGTCCTAGTTTAACACACATCTCTGCAGCTTCTCTACTGTTACCCACTCTTTACTCCATCCAGACAGTGTCTTGCCCACGACCA